AGACAGACAAACAAAAGTACGTATGCTAATTCATGATCCCCTTGTGGTAGAAAGTGAAACGAGCGAAACCGAAAGCACAAGATACTATTTGTCTGCTCTAGTAGTTGTTTGCTTAGATAGTCATTAGGTACAAAACTCTGCAGGAAGTTTTCAGAACTCACTGTGTGAGGTCATAGCAGGTGTTAGAACTAAAACAAAGTAACCTAATTTTAAACCTAAACTATTTTATCGGCATATCTCATGACATATCTCTTAGCACCGCTGCCTTTTTAAACAGGTTTCACGTGGTTAATAACCATAAAAAATACACAGTTACGTATCTTTCTTTGAAACACATTTAAACCAGTTGTGAAATACATGTATTGTTGAGCAGTTATGACTGGTAATACAGTGTTTTAAAAACCGCCTTAGCTTGCTTTCTTCGATATTCGTAAAGTTATATAAAAATTAGTTTAAAAAAGTAAATAAATCTGTACATAACAGTTAAAGTCAGTCTATTGATGTTAGCTTTATCAAATGGAAGACGTTTTACTACTACTCTACCTAAACAATAATAATCCAATATACCTATGAATAAACCCCCCAGTGGCACAGCGGTATGTATGCGGATTTACAACGCTAGAATCCGGATTTCGATACCCGCAGACCTGCCGCTGTGCCACTGGGGGGGGGGGCGAAATTAATACATAGATGTCCGGATAGAACTGTAGTAAATCAACTGTATATATATATATATAATGCATAGGTCTGCGTCTTTCTTTTTAGTGTCACAAATTACTGTGACGGGCTGGCTAAACTAGTTTCGATGAAATTTGATTGGTTGGACTCCCAGAATTTTAGTTTGAATTGATGAGCAGTTGGACTAACGGTTCGAGTTTGGCAGCCATTTCACTTTAATGGAGCGAGGAGGTCGGCAGTCAAATACGTGAAGACGATATACAGGAAATAAAAGTGATGTTTAGTCACAAGTGTAGCAAGGAGTACCTTTTAATCGTACGGGCTGTTCGTGGAATATGACTCAAAATAATGAATAGAGCGGCTCCGCCCTCATTTAAAGCATTAGTCTGTAAGCCTAACATTAACAGGCACTCCTATTACTCGCTTATGCATTCAAAGTACTTAAGGTATCTTAACGTTCTAGTTTCACTAACCGTTTCAGTATTCACCCACACTTGTCTGCTACGTCCTAAAAATAAGCTGTACGACAAGGAAGCATATTTGTTTATACTTATAATTGGGACATTTTAATTACTTATTATAAGTATAGAGGAGGTGCGTGCTGACTAGAAAAGCTTTAATGTCATATACAAAGAAAACTTTTTTTTAAATTTTTAACAAATGTAATTACTTTAAATAAATTTAGTTTCAAGTTAGTTTCATTTTCTTGTGTTTTTCCGAAGGAGGGCAACTTACTCGGTCAGAAGAAAGCTCATTCATTATGGCCAATTGACCAAAACGCCTTCTTGGCAACTTGAAGACCCACACTCTGATATCTGTCTGGTTAACTTTCGAAGAAGGGCCATCCACTTTGTTGTTAGACGAGCAGAGCGTTTTCCAAGAATACCTCCTGTGGTGGTGGCTACACTTTGCTACATAAATTACCCCCTCAGCGACTTAACCCTAAATTACCAGTGGTCATCTGTTGGTCTTAGCAGCTGTACACTGATTTTCACTTTCCTTACTCTAATAACCTAGAAACTTCAGCACCCCAAGCTTTACTAAGCTGAGCTAACAACAAAAACGTATGTCCTGTAACATATAGAACTGGGTTGGGATGAACAAATCTCCCCCACCGCCCATAAGTCCAACAATGTCACCGCAAGTATAACAGTGAGGGGTGAAAATTATGGAGAGGTCATGCGCACATACAAGAGAAAGTGACATTGGGATTTTTAAAATACCCAAAGATGAATATAACATTTATATGTATATATATACATGAACTTGTAAAATACTGCCAAGACTAAAACTATGGACTAGGCAGTCATTAAATACGATGATATGGTCATAAAAATCGAACAGATCTTTTTGCCAAACTGTGATAACGTATATTCTCTATCAATGAAATCAGTGTTATTATTAGTTTTCGAACGTTCTTTAGCATCCTGTACAACTCATCTTTTCGTGTGTTCCAATTTAGACTTAATTGGATTAGTGAACTTGTAGGATGACGATAGCTCCTGACGAAGCTGTAATAGCCGTAATATTGAGCTAATAAAGATACATTTTGGAGATATAGGTCGTGATTTTATTTACCTTAATAGAAATGTCTCGTAATAAACTTCAGTTTGAGTTAAACGAAGTTAAAAATTAGATGTACTTCCGCAAGGTCCCCAAAAGTCTTCTGTTTCAAGAGTAAATAAAACCAAAATTCAGAGTAACAAATATTTTTATTTCCTGTTTTGAAGTTCATATTTCATGCTGTGTTGTAACCTACTGAGTGCATGATTTTTCTCGTGATTCGTGGCTTGCGCACGTTTTACTGACGTCACGACAGTACAAATTGCAACGTTAAACGACCCTTATTTAACGTCATGTTAGCGTTTACTGACTGACTGACAGACTACATACTACTGTAAAGTGGTGCGAGTGGTTAAAACAGGTGACACCCTTCAGGCGGCCTTAGGCCCTCTTTCGGGGAAAGAGTAATTCATAAGACAACTTTTAACAATAATTTTTGTTTCAGTGTAATTATTGACCTAATATTCGCGATAAATATTTTGCTGGAAAGCAGATATCACGAATATTAGGCCTACTTATGCCATAGCTTCGCCAGCTTTCGACAATTAACATTAATTTTATAATGTTGATGTGGTAATTAATGTTTATCAATACCCGTATATCATGTTCTCTCTGTAAATAAATATATATATATATATAAATATATAGAGATATTTGTGTGTGTGTGTGTGTTATGAAGGAAGGATAACACTAATGATATAGTGAATCAAAAACACACGCCTGCGAATTTAAACTCCATAAAAGTTGTTTTGGTTTTAATAACGGAGTTTCCATGATTCACCTACGCAGATTTCGAAAATAATGTTAATTTTTTTTTCTATCACGTAAGGATTTGTTTCAAATCGGAAAGAAAATAAAACTCTTGTTTAGATCATATTATTATTTCGTTTACCACAATGAACATTTTTCATTATTATGTTTGTTAACAAAAATAGAAACAAACTGAAGAAAAGGGAAGAACATTGATGTCAAACGAATATACATCCTTATTCATCCTGATTTTGTGTATGTGAAATCTACGTCTTTTAGTCTCAAAACTACGTGTTGTGGTCTTCCTTTTATGTATTGCGTTATGACGTTTTGTGAAAAATCTGTACGTGATAGAAAAATTAGATATCATTTTCGGATTCAGCGTACAGGAATTACTGTAGAACATGTAAAAATTCCAAGACAATAAAACCATCGCAGGCCTGTGTAATCGGTTCAGATCCTAAATTACAAATTATTATAGGCTAGAGTATAACGGAAGGCATAAGCATAAAACATTATTATTACACTATTGGTATAAACTTACACTGTCGGAGCTATTTAATAGGTTTTCAAGCGTCTCAAGACGTTTTTAGGGAGGACTATGAACATGTTTTGTTTATACATGGTTATACTGATAAGCTTTCAACGAATACTAAATATACGTCACTACTTGAAGCTAACAGGTAGTGTTCGTGTGTTCCCTGAGCAAGGTATACTCTATTATTTATTGTTACTTTCATTAACAGCATTGTTTACAATGTTCAATATATCTAATATTATTATCTTTAATTTTTATTATTACACTTTTCACTATAGAAATTGTTTTACATATAAGTAATATGTGGATTTAGAACTAACCTTAATCTCTTAAGCTAAGAATATCGTGAGATATTATTGGGTTTACGGCCGAACACATCGTTAACAGCGAGGGCACCCAACTGACGAAACAATTTATTCTGATTTTCATAAATATGAATGTAAGAAAAGTATATTAAATTAGGTTTCATTTTAGGCTATCTCCAAAAGGTATCTTCTTCTGATCGAGAGTTAATGCTGATAATTTATAAAAATAAAAACAAAAAAAAATGACAGGATTATATTTGTATTACTTCGACGTTTGTGTTTTCTGGACAACACAAATTTGTTTCCCAATGTGAACTACACAACTGATTGTTGTAATATATCAAAACCTACATTTTTAAAATGCAGATTTTATTAAATTAAACACAAGGATTGTGTTGTGTTACGTTTTATTGTTAGCCCGCGATGTGTTGTTTTTACTTTGAAGTTGTGTTGTAGCCATTCAAAAACAAGATTCGTGTCCAACGAAATACATCTGTTATTTCTGATATAAAGTGTTTTTTTAGAGTGTAAGTTTAAATTCGTAGAAAACAAAGTGCAAGTGTTCTATCTGATGATATTTGGATGTGAATCCAAACTGGATAGATCCTCTTCTTGTCCGAGTGACTTAGAGTCTTGTGACTAATGTATCAGTTAGATGAGTGAGAACCCGAGTTCGAATACAAAGTACGTAAGAAATAAACAATTCGAATATACAAATATAACACGAGAAAATGAAAACTTTGGCACAAGTGAAATAGATAAAATAGGTTTAAATCCAGGGAAGACTGTGTGTTATTTATGGACGAGAGAAGAGTTTTTATGTAAAATGTTTCTTTTATACATAAAAACTCTTCTACCGTCCCTAAATAACACACAGTCTTCACTGGATTTAAACCTATTCTAACAAAGTACATAGTTTGAAGATCTAGGAAGTTAAAAAGGATGTAACATCGAATGATCTAATTAGAATATTTTCCCTATTACCAAAGACATGTTCGAATCCCACTTTATTTCCAAAGAATGTTGTTGTTTTGTCACACAACAGCACGTTGTTACTTAAAATTATTTATATCAAACCTAATCCTATTTTCTGCTGTAATATGTACTGTATAAAATATTACTCTACAATCATAGTGTTATTTTTTTTTCACTCCCCCCACCCTCAGGAATTGGAATGGACGATACGTTTGTTCTTTTGGCTGCATGGCGTCGCACGGACCGGAAGAAGCCCGTGGAAGAAAGAATGTCGGAGGCGTACATGGACGCCGCCGTATCCATAACGATAACGTCTCTCACCAACTTTATATCTTTTTTAATCGGAATCATAACACCCTTTCCATCTGTCCAGATCTTTTGCATCTATACAGCTGTGAGCGTGCTCTTTGCCTACATCTGGCAAATAACCTTCTTTGGAGGATGCATGACGGTTTGTGGACTTGCTGAGGGTCGAAATCTTAACAATATTTTCTGTGTCCCTGCAATTCCCAGATCTGTTGCAAGTGAGTATTTACTGTAAAATGTAAACGTAGTATAAAATGAGGATGGCAACCCTTTATTAGTTCTGTGTGGTCTCATAGAAATATAATACGTTGTAACTGTATTGTATTGAAAACAAAACTGGTTTCTTTGTTGTAATGTGTAAGAAAATTCACTTCAGAGAAATGTCTCACATTCGTCAGTTAATGTGTGTTTGCAATAATCTCAATTTCAAGAATTAAGAACTGAAGATAATACTTCTTAAGCGTCATCCAGTGTAAGCGCAAATACATATGTTGTTTATGTTTTAAAATACAATGGTACGAATTTCCAGCTTGTAAGTATTCTAAAATATACGTATTTTTCTCGCAAAAAACTGAGATAGTAATTTACGTTATAACGACCAAAACTATTTCAGAAACATTAAGACGTGAATACAGGTTGCAGCTTATACGAGTTGTTTTGGAAATGACATTTTCGAAACATTCAAGATAAACTAGTAAAACTGTAAAGGAAAAATTAAAATTCTTGAAATCGGAGCATAGTGAGCCCAGCATGGCCAGGTGGTTAAGGCACTCGACTCGCAATCTGAGGGTCGAGGGTTCGAATCCCTCTCACACCAAACATGCTCGCCCTTTCAGCCGTGGGGGCGTTATAATGTGACGGTCAATCCCACTATTCGTTGGTAAAAGAGTAGCCCAAGAGTTGGCGGTGGGTGGTGATGACTAGCTGCTCTCCCTCTAGTCTTACACTGCTAAATTAGGGACGGCTAGCGCAGATAGCCCTCGTGTAGCTTTGCGCGAAATTCAAAAACAAAACAAAACCAAGCATAGTGATCAAAATAGCATCGCAAAAATTAATTACATTTCCTGTAATTCAAGCGCAAGTGATGAAATGTATGTGAACTTTTAAAATATATCGCAGAAAGAGTAGTTTAACTTTGGAAAACCGAATCATTATCATTAAAAGAACACCAGCAGATATGTTTTTTACTGTGCAGCTTGGTGGTGACATCTCAACAAAAGTTAACTACAGACTTCCGGCTTATTGCCCCACTAAACAGAAACTGAATTAATATAGATTCCACGAATTTTATTAACTTCTTCATGTACTTTTTTTGTTTTTGAAGTTAAGCACAAAGCTACACAATGGGCTATTTGTGCTCTGCCCACCACGGGTATTGAAACCCGGTTTCTAGCGTTGTAAGTCCGCAGACATACCGCTGTGACACTGGGGGGCCCTTCATGTACTTGTGCATATGTTACTTTAAAAAGCCGACTTTTTGGACGACTAGATATTGAAAATTTATTGGGGATAATAAATAGCTAGACAAAACGAATCACTAAGTTTAAAAGTTAACGGTTACTTTGTTAAATTTAAATGGCCGCAACCAGAATTTTGGTGCAATAAAAAAAGTTAACCCATAATTTGTTACATTGTCTAAAATTAAAATCAGCTAGCTAAGTTCTTCACGTTTTTGTTATTGCAGTTATTTTACTAATATTTTTACCGTGCATGATATTATTGGTTTTCTACGTAGTTCGTGTATCGTGAAAGGATGAGAAATAGAAGTATCGTAAATAAACTGTGAAGTTTACATTAAAACTGACGACTTATTTAACTTATTTTTGATAAACATTATATTAAGTTAGTGTAGTAGCTGTTTCGTAAATAGATGCACCCCAGTGGCACAGCGGTATGTCTGCGGACTTACAACGCTAGAATCCGGGTTTCGATACCTGTGGTGGGCAGAGCACAGATAGCCCATTGTGTAGCTTTGTGCTTAATTACAAACAAATACAAATACAAGTTCGTAAATAGGTATCTTTATGGTATACCTCATGAAACCCGTGGAGCCAAATTCAAGTTTGGTGTTAGGGTTAAATATTAATAAGACAAAGAATTAATACATAGAACTCGCTTAACACATGAAATAATCAGATTCACAAAAGTTTCAGTGTTCGTTAATGCATATTTCCTTGGTTCAGAGGTCAAACGTAGAGTAGGTATATGTCTCTATTTCGTATTTAATTATAGGCAACTTTAAACATAAATAATGAACTGCCCAGTATTCATTGGCTTCAAATAATTATTTCTTATTAATTACAAGTGTAACAATAATCAAAATTAAAGAGGTATCACAAAATTAACGTAAAGTTTTAATTTATGGTGTTTTTTTTTCTTCAGTTTCAGAAAAGAAGAATGTGATATTCCGACTCTTATGTGCTGGTGGTGTTAACAAAGATGATCCAGACAACCCAATGGATAACAGGGATCACGCTCTCATGGTCTTTTTTCGAGATTCATTAGGTAAATTCCTCAGCTACAAGTCCGTAAAGATTTCAGTACTTTTGGTGTTTTTTATCTATCTGGGAGTTGGAATTTGGGGTTGTACAATGGTCAAAGAAGGCCTTGAAAGACATAGACTTTCACGGTATGATTCATACTCCGTCACCTTTTACAACATGGAAGACAAGTATTTCCGAAAGTATCCATACCGTATTCATATTGTAGTAGCGGAAGAACTGAACTATGCAGACCCTAAAGTACAAGAGAAAATAGAAAATATGCTCCAGAAGTTTGAAAGTGCCAACTTTATTGCCAAATCTTCATTGACTGAGTCTTGGCTAAGAGCTTATTTAGAGTTTCAGAAAGATGATAGAGCTTTTTTCTTGTTAGATGGTTTTAACTTGACTATAAAGGAAGACTTTATAAAAGCTCTCCGAAGTATATTTTTCAGAATGCCACAATTAGACCAATTTAAGAAAGACATAATGTTTAATGAGAATGGGACATCCATCTTGTCTTCTAGATTTATGATACAGTCTCAAGATATCCTAAATGCTAATGAGGAAAAAGACATGGTCCTGAAGTTGCGCGAAATTGCTGACAGTTTTCCTTTTAATGTAACTGTATTCCAGCAATATTTTATTTTCTGGGATCAGTTTATTCTTGTTCGAGGGACGTCTATACAATCTATTTCAGTTGCTGCTGCCGTAATGATGGTAATATTGTTGGTTTTCATTCCTAAACCTGTCTGTGCGATGTGGGTAGCCTTTTCCATAGTTTCTATCGAAGTTGGAGTCATTGGGTATATGACTCTCTGGAATGTCAACTTAGACTCTATTTCCATGATAAATTTAATCATGTGTATTGGATTTTCTGTCGATTACTCGGCTCATATTTCGTACGCCTACATATCCTCAGAAAATAAGATGGCGGATGAACGGATGCGGCATGCTCTTTATTCTCTTGGAATGCCCATTCTACAGGGAAGTTTGTCAACCATCTTAGGTATAATATCCCTTGCCTTTGCACCTTCGTACATCTTTCTTACTTTCTTTAAGACTGTCTTTCTTGTTATTTTATTTGGAGCACTTCATGGTAGTCTGCTACTTCCGGTTTTACTTTCGCTTTCTGACTATTGCTATTCGAAGGAAAAAGGTTCTATTGCAGAACTTTGGGAAATTCCACGTGCCCTGTATCAGCCACAAAAGCTTGGATTGTCTGCTGCTCCACTGTCGTTTAAAGACAGTTTAAAAATCCCTCGACCGTCTCACATAGCGGCGTTAAGTATTTCTGACCTGCAACCAGCACAAGTAGATAGTGGGAAAGAATCTCGAGAAACATCTAGTTGTAATAACAGTGGAGACAAAGACTTTGGTATTGGTACTAGTGGGGAGGAGAGTAGTGAGATCAGCTGGAAGGGAAGAGACGTGGATCCATTTTCTCAAACCCAACATAGCACACAGTTCGTAGGATACTCGAGCTGTAAATCTATTGATAAAGGTGAATGTGACAATCCAGCCTTTGAAGCGGAAGAAATCATAGTGTATGAGCAACCACACCCAGCACTATCTTCTCGAAATTCCTCCAGAATGACTCTGTACCATACCGATAGTCGAACTGGCCTTTTTAACGCCCAAGACAGTGGGGAACAATCTTTTTCTAGAAACAGCTATTCAGGGTTATCAGCAAGAAATCTTAGAGAGTGGACCTACTCCGGTTCCGGGACAAGGGACAATATTTATGACAGTCCTCTTTCATTTGAGACTGGCCACATGAACCAGGGTTATGAGCAACAGAATAATCATCCATTCTGACAAAAATTAACGTACTAATACCAAGTTATTTGGGATCCATAATAGGCCTAGGTCTTGAAATGTTCTTTAATTTTTTATGATAAAACACTCATCGGCTCTCCCTATCTAAATGCGTCATTTGCACCTTCTAACGCTACCCATTACGAATACTTGGCCAAAACGTAGTTATTATCCTTATAAAATAATCATATAAATAACCCTTTGTCTGTAATGTAAACTTTTGTTGTCATATTTGTTTTTCCAGTTTTACTACTAAAGTAATAGACATTATAACATTTCCTAGTCAGATTTATATTAGATTCAGCAAAGACGTTCCTTTAAAAATAAAAAGTGGAACCCTCCAAGCATTTCTTTGTGGGAAGGCCTTTGATTCTGCAGAAGGAGAAAAAAAAATCACATTTTCTGAGAAAATGTTTTATTTGTCGTTTCATTAATAATGTACATTTTCCTTGATACATCAAGATGTGGTAATTATTTGTTGTCGTTGTTGTTGTTGTTCAACAATACTGTTCTCGTTGCCATATTTCCTTCCATTCGTTTTTTTTTCTTCTGTTAAATTAAAATAAATACAAAAAAAACAAACACTTTTTGATATTTCATTCTGAAACTAGAAAATGGTAAACTTTTTCTTTAGGGTGTTACAAAGTTCCAAGGTGTTGTAGGTAGAAAATGACAGTGAAATACATCAAAGCTGTTGGTGTGGAAACCCTCAGTGCTTACATCTCAAGCATTGTTAAAATTTTAGCAACAAACAAGCTGAAAGTTTTAACGTAGAACATTTAAACTCTACATTTACGAACATGTATTGGAAGATGGCTATTTTATATTATTTAAATCTATTATTGAAGCTGTTGTTTTTTTCTGATTTGGCCTAATAACACATTGCATGTTAAAGCGTGTAATACTTCAATAACGTCGGACGTTCCAAAGATTTTTTCAAAGCAAATAAAATGTGTTTAATTTCTGTTAAATGTTTTTGCTTCGTCAGTAAAATACGAGTAAAATACCATTGCCTTTTCCTTGGGAGTTTGATGTTATTGTGAATTAACCGATTTATTTTTTATAAAGATAGGCTCAAAATGCCTTAAAAAATTAATAAATGTGTATTTCATAACTAAGTGTAAAAAAATAGGAAAACGTTATTCCCATTTGATTGAATAGCAGAGTTTCAGTTGTTTTGTTTCTTTTTTAAATACGTTTGGTTTTTGTACAATGAAGACTAATGTTAATAATGTTTATGACAGGTTTGTTCGCCAACTATTGTCTTTTTGTTCTCTGATCTGAATAAATTGTAGTTCAGACACAGACCTCACGCTCTGTCCATTCTTAATTTAATTAACTTGCTTGATAATTAAGTGATTAACTTGTTTAATAATTAATTGATTAACTTGTTTAATAATTAATTGATTAACTTATTTAATAATTGATTGATTAACTTGTTTAATAATTAAGTGATTAACTTGTTTAATAATTAATTGACTAACTTGTTTAATAATTAATTGATTAACTTGTTTAATAATTAATTGATTAACTTGTTTAATAATTAAGTGATTAACTTGTTTAATAATTAATTGATTAACTTGTTTAATAATTAATTGATTAACTTGTTTAATGACTAAGAAGAAGAACATTCCCAATAATATAGTTTTTAAATAAAATATAAAAATATAAATCAAAAATATTAACATTAGGATTTAGGATTAGATTAGGATTTAATATTTCATTAAATTGCATTTATCTTTATAAGATTAAATTATGTTCTACTGTTTTATAAAAAAAATTTCTAGTATTATTATTTCATAGTTTTCTAGAAGTCGCAAAAGAGTCATATTACATAGCTCGTGTCTAAGAGCCCCCTGGTGGTTAAAGCGCTCATCTCCAAGTCTGCGATGGGTGCTGTTGGCCAGTTGCTTTCTCTCTCTGGTCAATAGTTCAATAGTCTTAGTAGCTTTGCCATAATCAAACAAGTAAAGTCTCGTAGTTAAATATTATTTTACTCTTTACAAAAAATATGATTTTGAAAATGCTTCTGACCGTGATGGCGATAGTATTGTATCGTAACTATCAAATATTAGTAGAGAATTCATTAAATTATTCACTTATTTTCCATTCATTTCTCGATACTTAGATCGAATACGTTTCAAAAATCATCTATACTAAGTCTTTTATTTACATTTTACTACGCAAAATAGGCATGTTTTACTTGAAATGCAATCAAAAGTTAGACACGAAATCTTATTTATTTGAGCAATACTACAAAAATAAAGTTTCAAAAAAATATATATATACATTGTCAATTTTTAATAAACTTAGTAATTTTAAGGGTAGCACACTGTCCTTGGAATTTTTCTGAACCGTTGAAAACAGGTTAACCAGAATTCGAATATCTAGTAGATTTTAAAGATAATTTAAAAGATGCAAGATTATGGTACATTTACGTTGTTCAAGATCTGTTTCCTATAATCATTTTCTGAGTTTCACCTATTACTAATTGATAAACGGGTACGTTTTTTTTAAAGCACAAAGCTACACAATGGGTTATCTGCAGTGTGCCCACCGTGGGTATCAAACCCATATTTTTAGTGAATAACCCCTCGACCTTACTGGGGTGAAATCAAGTAAGAAATTGGTGTTTCGACATCACCTACACCAATCATATAAAGTTTAAAACTTGTTTGGGTTTAAGAGCAAACCTACACAATCTGCGAAGCAATTTGATAGTTATCAAATTTCAAAATTGATTGAAAGTAGCTTATCATGATATACCCCCTCTTCCCCCCCCCCTCGTGGCACAGGAGTATGTCTGCGGACTTACAACGCTAAAAACTGGGTTTCGATATCCGTGGTGGGCAGAGCACAGATGGCCCATTGTGTAGCTTTGTGCTTAACTTCAAAACAAACAAACAAAACAAATTATAAATATTTA